TGCCCAACCTTCCTTCTGAGGAGTGGCTGGTGGGTTTGAACCGCCAGCCGTCTGGTTAGCAGGCAAGTGTCTTAGCCACTATGCTACCAGAGCTCCCTAAAGTAGATTTCCTTATCTTCCTCCCACAGAGCAGCTGGTGGGTTTGAACCACCGACCTTCTGGTTAGTGGCCACATGCTTTACCCACTATGCCACCAGAGCTGCTTACATAAATTACATCATGATCCCACTGGGGCTCGAACCCAGGATCTTCTGCGTGTAAAGCAGACGTGATAACCACTACACTACTTCAGTGCAAGAAAAGGAGCCCTGGTGGTGCTATGGTTAAGTGCTTCCTTGTTAAACTAAAGGTCAGTGGTTCAAATACACCAGGCATTCTGCAGGACAAAGATGTGGCAGTCTGCTTTCATAAAGATTACAGCCTTGGAAACCCTATGGGATAGTTCTACTCTGTCCTATTGGGTCAGTATGGGGTGGAATTGAGTCAATGGCAATGGAGTAGTGCAATAAAAGGCTCAAAGCCTTTTCAATGATCTAAAAACTGCATGAACGGCAAGTTAAGACGACTGTGATGAAAAAGTACAGGTTGGTTCAACCATTTCAAAGTGAGGGCAAATTTATATAACATTAAAGCAGGGCTTCAAAACAGTGTTGCCAAAGATGGTGGCTGACCTTGGTCATCTGAATGTGTGTGGGTCTCCACAGTCCTGTCAATGATCCAATCACATGCACCAGGCTCCTAAAGGGCCCACTACACCTCCTCCAAGTCTCCAATTCCAGGGCTTCGACTGGTAATACTTCCTGTGGCAGTTACCATGATGAATCACCCAAACTGTAAAAATTCACATCTGTTCCTGTTTCACTTTCTGGACCACGACAGAACCAGTTCAAAGCCCTGTATCAAAGGGCGAATGGGAGTTGTTTGTAGGTCGGATATTTGTAACCCAAGGACTGCCTGTAATTACATTTATGTCATTTAAAATATCTGCCTTTTTTTTTTTTTTTAAAGGAAACTACTCCAGATACTTCAGGTGTTTTTGCTTATAAATCAAATTAATACCTAGATTAGACTGAATATCTGCACTACCACATAACAGCAGGAAAGGAGTATGAAGAGTCATGAGATTTCAGTTTAGGGCAAATGGAGATGCTCCTATTTGTTATCAAAGTACATTCTGCTAATCTTGGTACCAAAAAGTAAAACTACATTTAGAAATACTGTCACAAAGAATATTTCATTAGCCTCTTATGACTTAATATTATTATTATTATTATTATTATTATTATTTTATTATCCCTTTTTCTCCTCAGACCTTTCCAACTCTCTCCACAAATAACCCCTAGCTCCTTCCCTAAATCCCCCAATCTTCAGCTTTTGTTAGGAATGTCATTTCTTTTTGAGATTCAAGTTTTGTGTTTTGCTCTGTATATCATATCAGAATTGCCTCCCTAAAGGGTATGACTGGCATTATGATTTATTTGAATTCTGTGCAATCTTGGATCTCCCATTTTCTAGTAATGTCCCATTTATTATATTAAACATAAGGTTTCTCTTTTCTATCTCTAGAAAGAAAAAATCATACTTAATCTGTAAAAAACAAACACCTCTTTGTGGTTGGCAGACTTGATTCCTAATGAGTTCAAACAATGTTGGTTAGAAAAAGTCACCATCATGCCAAAAATTTTTTTTCCTTCTCTCCCCAAATTACACTGGCTTTAATATTACCCTCAATGGAGAGAGACTGAAACCATTCCTCTTGAGAACAGGAACTAGACAAGGATGCCCGCTATCACCACTTCTATTCAACATTGTACTG